GACTGATCCCCGACTCATGGATATTAAAAGATTCATATAATGGATACAAATACATACCAATTAATGATTTATTGCACTGTCAACGAGCTTGGCTGTTTCAATCTAATTACCTGAATAATCCCATATCCCCATCCTTTCCCTCTTCGTCCTCTTCCCTCGAAGATCTGTCTCCATTTTCGTCTTCTTCCTCTTTCCTTGTAGCTAGCATACCAACGAAGAGGAAGAGAAAAAGAAACTAAAATCATTTTGAATTTTGATGGACATTGAAGCCATTTGGCTATAAATGTTATCATTGATTGATTCTCATTTTTGTAATATTTTTAAGAGTACATGATGTCATGTGCTATCGTTTTCTAGTTTTATTTATAATTGAAATTTAAAACTATATATAGTAGCATTCAAAAATGAAACCCGGTGTTTTTATCTTATAAACATCATCACTATTTCACATAAATAATAATTATGACTTTTAACAAATGATCTGACAACAAAAATTACATAATCTTGATAATACTCACTACAATAATGATAACGCTATATAATAATAATATGGCACGATCAGTAACAAAAATAAACACAAAATGAATTAAGTAGGAGACATGGAAAAGACAATAGTAAATATTTAAGACTGTAATACACAATAATAATAATAATATTAATAATAATGTGTGTGAAATGATTATGAGGTACTGATGAATGATATAATAATAATTTAGAAAGTTGATTCATCATAAGTTTTTCCATTTCCTGAAGTCTTCTGGTATTGATAGGAAGCCTCTTCGCTTAGCATGTCACCATAAAAATCGCTCAGCTGTGATGCAGGACCAACTAAAGGCAAAGAAATATATTATGATTAAAGTTTTTCTCTCCCCCCCTCTCTCTTTTCCTATCTCTTACAGTTCGAGTAAATTGGAAAACTGGGTAATACTTTAATGCCACCACCAAACTTGCTCATGCTGCTCTTGCAAGCATCAACCATTGCTTTATGAATGAAGACGTATTGAGGCTCGGTCTGGATCATGTGGTTACGATGCTGTCTCATTTCGCTAGCCAATCCAAAGAGGTCAACCCAGTCATGATCCTTAATATGCTGGAGCAGTGTACCCAGTGCTATGAATGTTCCTGTACGACCTACACCAGCACTACAGCAAAAAAGAGAGAGATAAGTGTAACATGAAATATATAAGAAGCAAGGAGGTCAAAATGAAGGAGAAAGAGGATCATAGTGTTATTACCTGCAGTGGACTATAACAGGTCCAAAAGCTGACGAAGCCACTTCGTGTACTTCCCGTACAAAATCCAGAGCAGGTCCAGCTTCATCGGGGACTCCATGATCAGGCCATGATACAAACTGGTAGTGTGTTATTGTACGGCTTCTCTTCTCCTTTAAATCACAATGTGATAATAACATTGACTATTTTTTATTAACTGATTTACTTTTGTGATCTTGAACTTCCGCACTATCCAGTCACTCTTCTCAGTCTCGCTCAACATGTCGACGTTTATTTCTCCATAAACTTCCGGCTGTGCTCCGGGCCAATAGCGATGACATTTCGTCTAGAACAAACAATAAAACAATAAATAAAAATATTATTATTACAATCTCCTCACCCTTCCTCTTTCAACGAGCTGAGTCAGCATTACAATAACGTGCGAATTCTGCTCCCATGTCATCCTCCAGAAATCATCAAAGGTCGATGGTAGAGGTCCCTGTGTTGCTATATAGGCTCTACGCATCCTGTAACCCTGAGAGAGAAAAAATACATGCATGCATAAAATTTTTTAAAGCTGACAAAAGTGAAAGAAGGTACTGTATAGCGGCAAAGTTTTGAGGCAATAAACTTTCGCAAATCAGGCCACAAGTCTTTTTTTTCGCAAATTAACTTTCATGGTTCTTATTCTAAAGCACGCGTGTTTATAGGGCAATATGGATTTTATGGAATTAACTTTCGCGGATATAGAAAATCCGCGAAAACAGCGAAAATTGTATACCCCCGAAATTAAGCAGCTATACAGTATAAAGAGATACATGTACATGCATATTATATTGAAGATAGAGAAGGTCAGCCAACATCCTCTATTGAGGTTGCCAATATTTATCACTATTATGCGATTACACGCATCTCTTACTGGTATGTAGTTTGCGTTGATGTAATCTGATCCTGGTTCATCGTCGATGCTCTCAAGTTTGACTCTCGAGTGATCGTAGGCCAGTATGTTAGTGTATCTGTTCTTAGCTCTGTTCTCAGGAAGGAGTGACGCATCTTTAGAATGATCTAGTCCAACAGCTGATACTTTCTATAAATATAAAAATGGATGATACATGTACATATATACCAAGAGGGTTTGAGCTGATTTGGACTAAAATTTTTTGAGTTATAAGTATATTTTAATTGGCCTAGTTCTAAAAATATAGCCCATGGTTTTTTCCAAAAATGGCTCCAAAAACAATAAAATTTTTAATTACATTTTCTAATACATATTGATGTCCTTATGCTGTGTAAAAAGTTTGAGCTGATTCTGACTTCAATTTTTCAAGTTACGGCCATTTTTTAAAATGAGCCAATTT